CTTGCGTGTCATACACTTGCAAGCAGGCTGGGCATTGCATTGTTTGGTGGTGGCCTCCCAAGATAGGATGGGACTTAGTTGCAAAAACACAGTACTACTTGTTGCAATATCATAGCCACTTGTTATACAGAACATAATGCACACTTTTGAGTGGCATATTGAAAGGACAATTATCCTGAGATGACACAGCCAACATTGATCAGACAAAGTAAGTAAATGTGGAAATGAGTCACAAAAATTTGTTCAAATTCCACTTTCTGTAGACAGAATTGATAATGCTCAGAAGTCTGAACATACCTGGAGCAATGATCAGGAGGACACACCTAAAGTGTTTGAATCTCCTGAGCGGGGTAAAAGAGTCCATCAGGCTGTCCCGCAAATTCAGCCTGAATACACAGATAGTGGTAGCCGGTATCAGCAAATGTAACTATGTCTGATTGGGCTGAACATGCCTGGTTCATCTTTGTTTGGTCTGCTTTGACATTTTGGTGTAATCATCATTATCATTGGCTCTTTCAGACTATAATTTGCAGATGTGGCAGCAACAACCAAGCACTCTAGTAATGGCCTACACCCCAACTGGTACTACAGTACAACTTGATCACATCATAGCAAGACTCACATGGATACCAAATGTAATAGAGTGTGGTACAAAACAAACACATGTGAGATTATATGCTCCCTTTTGAGATATAAAACTAATGTAGACATCAGTGAACACCATGATGACAATTACATAATACAAACTTACATATAAGCCTTTGATAATGAGCATGTTTGCCTTGCACACAGTGTGAACATAAAGCTATAAAAAGCTTTGTTATATGCCAGTGCTTGTTAGTCTGTAGCAAAAATTACACATAGGTGTGAGTTACTAATTACATAGTGCACAAACTCGGTAAATACAAGTGTAGTTCCGATGGCCCCAATTGTCCTTAAACACATATAAAACGAGTGAAATAGGTATCAATAATAGCGGGATAGAGAATGTCTGCACAAGGACTACGCTATGTGGATTATAGGTAAAATTGGCAAGGCAAACAAAGGCCCCTAGTCCAGAGACGGGTATTGCATTAAAATCCCCCTTCATAATTGTATCCACAGAATAAGTGATGACTCTGGGTTTCAGGTTGGTTGTCTTGATTGATGTCCAATCAAAATACATCCACAGTTCAATATCCCAGGGGGCAGTACTGGCATCACCTAGGGCGCTTGGTATATGATCAATAGTTATAGCCTCTAAGATCAACAGCTTAGGGAGGTATAGCCCTAGATGACCAGATGATCCTGATATGGCCCAGCAGTGGCCTAATTGGGTGCTGGATTGCAGCACAATATGTGGTGGGTGAGGGACAAACACGTCTGTCTTGGTGAATGGTCATAATGAATATTGCTAAGTGTCTGGAGTGTGAGACAGAGAGGTTAATTCACGTATAATGCTAGACCCCCCATTCAATAATGTGTAATCTTGCATGCCAACTGTATTATTGTACTGTATCCGATGCATATCACACTGGAGGTTGTCCAGACAGTCAATCATGGAAGTATTCAACAACTGCAGATCTCCATTGAAGTGGGTACAAAGCTGTATAACTGTTACTCCCTTTCTGATGGTTGTTATTCAGACACTAACCTGATTATAAAGTGAATGCACCAAAGTATCATTTATTGTGAAGTTATATGTAATGCTAGTATTACATGGTAAGGAGGATATGACATGCAAGGTCAAAAGCTGGACGTAGAACATGGTATTAGCACTAAAGTCCTCTCAATCACAATAGACATCTTACCTTGTCCAAGTGGCATACAATCACCCATAATCCCAGGTTTGAGAAGCCTGCCAAAATATAGAGAAAAAGAGATAACTGCCAAGGCAAAAGAGCTCCTCCTATCACTTGTAACAACCAAGAGTTAGTTACTCTGGTGCACACAAGAACACACTATAAAGAAGATGATGAGGGAGTGGTTACCCCTTGAGCTGCAGAGAGTTTGTTGGTATACAACAGAAGGACTCGCTGAGGAGTTTCCTGGATCTATTGGGGTATATATACTACTACAGGTTTGTTTGTACATGTGTACTATACAGTTGATAGAGACAGTGGCTGATGATGTCATGGGGCCTAGCCCGCATAGCCAGCTCCACTGTGTGAGGGAGTTGTGTCTAAAATAAGAAGAAAGGCAATGTGGCGCGCGAAAGAGGAGTTTGGACAAAAAGGGGAAGTGCCACGTGGCACCATGTGTGAAGGCTAAAGTACAAGGTTAAAGCGGAGAATGAAAATAAAGGAAAGGTCCGAAAATTGTGTTATCGTAACATCACTCCCATGATGTGTGAGAGAATGCCCCAGGAAAACCATATGATGTTGTGAGGCAAAACTCGAATCAGCTTGATCACCCACAGCAGCCATTGCAATGTTACAATCTTCCACGATCTGCATGACCATTGCAGGAATGTATGGTCTCTCTTATCTAATGATACAATATCAATAACCTCCATCTCCCCGCTACCGTCAATTTTGTCCAAGGACAAAAGAGAGACCATCTGGATCTGAAATTGACCAGAATGAAATATCAACAATGACAGGTTTGTCTGCGTGGACACCGTGAATGTGGACAAGTGACAACAGGGGGAGGAAACCAGGGATGAGGGAAGAGAGAGGATGGGGTCCACATATATATTATTCCACCATGAAAGTGTTTCATCATGTGGTGCCTACCAATTTCTTGGACAAAGGGGCTCAGATAAGTATTGATAAGGCTCAGATATATTCAATACACGCACCTTCCCAACCACCTTCCCAACCACCTTCCCAACCACCTTCCCATTGATATCCCAGCCAGTGTGGTAGGAAGAAATTGTTCTTACTCTTTTGACAACTGCAGGTGTTACCCATTTTCCACCGCACAGCAACCATTTTTGCCAGGAAGTGGAGTGACTTGAGGTGATAGAGTTATCCACTGTGTTAACATGCGGACTCTTGAGGCTCTCTCATTTTTGCGTGAATGGCTGAATACATTATCACAACACAATGGGATCCGCACCCGTGTACAGTAATTCTGGACCTTCTGGGCATGCAACCAATCAGTATGCTTTCCAAGTATGCCTTGGTAGCTTAGTTGGTAAAGCACCAGACCATGAAAGCTGGAGTCCCAGGTTCAAGCCTTGGCCAATGCATGTTTTCTCATACTATAAACAAATGTCATATTTTGTCATACATGTTTTACAATACTTTGGGAGCCATCGCAACTGGATGTCCATGTAAGCATTCCTGTTCTTTCTCTACTCAAAGATCTTTTCTGATCCACATAGGCAATACATCATCTTCAATCCGAGCATCATGTTTTGGAGACTCATCTCAATGAATTGTTTGTCAAGCTTTATACGACTTGGCCATATTGTGAGTTGGTTGTCCATGCCATAGACCATACATCTGTTCATATTTTCTAATGTAGCCGAGTGCTTGTCTTTGGACAACTCAATACTAATGGAGGTGCCATGCTAAGCTCATAAGGTCATGGCATATCACAAGAGAATAATGAGGGAAATTACAAGGCATCATGTTTTTGTGCAAGAGAATCCCCTGCAATCAGTGCTGGATTTCAAAGCCTAAGAGCAGTGTGAGTTAGGTTACATGTCACTCGGAGATTATCTTAAAATCAGCCGAGTTAACTTAAACTCAGGCCAAATCACTCATGGTTGTGTATAGTAATAATAGTGTTACATGGCTTTTTAATGTGCCAGTCAAACTTGAGTCACGGAGGCAAATTTTAGTCTTGCAATCAATAATTGTCTTTGATATGACACAATGGACAGCACCTACACTCTCATTAGTTTTGTCTCAAGTAACTAGGCAAAAAAAGCCTACTTGTGTAAGGTTGTGGCACCGCAATATGGTTATCGGGATCTCCACCAATATGATAACTTTTTTGATTGCTGAATTCAATTATAGAGGCCTTGTCATTGTGACACATCCACAAACCCCAGATTTCATTGGAAAAGTGAATTGGAAATTCAGAAGTTTGTAGTAAAGGGTGATGATGGGGGTTAGCAGCTTAATGCACTGACTTAAATCCCATGACGCCACTGGATGGCCCATTGACACGTTGAAGGATAATGATCAGCAAATTCCCCTTTCAAAAGTTTAAACAAAGGTGGCATTGAGCAAAACAGGGCTATGCTGTAGTGAGTGTGCAGGTAGACACAACAACCACAAGTGGTGGAATTACGTACTCGTGGACCATCGTGGTATGGTAGCAGAAACATGGATATAAAAGGTACAAATACAGCTTCCTCACATCCGTATTATTGCCTGTGGGGCCTTTGCAACACAGAACACTGATGTGGCAGATAGGGTCTTCACCTTATCTCAGCCAGCACTTCATTAATGCCTACAATTTCAGAGTAGTGAGTCTATCCAAGTCATTGGTTAATAGGACAGTAGATTTGCAAAACACTCACCTCTCATGCCGCGTAGCTGCGTGGTTATTGAGGTGACAGCGAAAGAGGAGGTCTGAAACTGACAATTGACAATATCTTGGTAAATTTTGCTTTCTGCACAGTGTTTGAAATGTACCTTCTGTTCCAATTAGCGGACCTGAGCAACACAGGTACTCAGGTAGGTTAAGTCCAGATAGATTGTGTCGCATTATAGGTGTTACACATACTCTTCTAGATCCCAAGCGAGGAGTCAACACGGCAAAGAATGGGGTCAAGACGTCGATGTTCAATTTTCAGGCCAAATAAGGAAAACTGCACTGAGAACGGATCAAGCCAGTAGCAATATAAGGCCTCGTACGAGAATGGAAAAATACAACATTTTTCTTGGTTTTGGGAAAGTGGCATCACAAGGGCTATTGAGGTGGAGAAAGAAAACTTTGAGTGCCTGCGTATAGTAAGATAGAATAATCTCCGTTATACAGGCATTGTTGTAGAGACAATAGAAGAAGATCAAGGCAATGATTGCGGACAGAGAGATACGGGAATGGGCAGCAATGATGACAGCATGGGAGAGGAGGATCGTGAAGAGAGTGAGGAAGCATCAATGTTCTGTAGGTGCCGAGCAGCACTACTTCTATGTCTTCAACGACTGTCCCTCACTCTCATTGGTCCCCAAATTGTTGAGCAATCAGCAGCACTTGTAGCCAACAACCAACTAAACAAGACCATACCCCAGCCATATCACACCTGCATTTTGACTGGCCATAGGTGGGTCCTTGAGCTGTTGAGTAGTCATTCTGACTGCATCTGTGCAGAACTTGGTGTCAGGCGCCATCTTTTCCTTAGGCTGGTAGATCTACTCAAGCGCTATCAATATGTTGACTCAAGGCATGTCCGCATTGAGGAGCAGCTTGCAATCTTTTGATATGCCTGTGTCACTGGCTTATTAGTTTGCCATATTGGTGAATAATTCCAGCAATCAAGTGATACAATTTCTGGGTCTGGAGGGGTAGATGAGCACTTGGCTGTGGATATTGAAATGTTGGGTGAGACATTGAACTTGAAGGAGGAGGTTGTGATTGATCCACAGCAAGCCCAAGTTGCGTATCAACGGGATTACTAGAGGGGCTCATTCCTGAGCCTTCTTTCGGTTTTGGCCTGACCTGTACTAGTGGACCAAAAATTGTGTCAGTACATTGCTCAAGAGGTAAAATTTCATGTACGTCAGCTTTCATCTTCCCTTTCACCTTAGGACCTGCCATGCACATCATGCGCTAAGGGGGTGGGTACCTATATCCTCACCTCTACCATCCCCAACCCTTGACCTTGAGGCCTTAAAGCCCACTGGTTCCAGAGCTGCAGCATCAGCAAAACAGCCTTCTATCTTGTCAATTGCCATATATCTGCCCTTTTGCTGCTCAATGTAAGGAAATAAATACAATGTTGGCACTGCAGCAATATGTACAAAGATGTCGCTGATCATTACTGATAATTATTCTCATAATAGACGTCACATACTAGTAGCAAAAGTACAAAATTGATATAGATAACAAAATGGACAGGACAAGAAGACTAAAGAAAAACAGGACCAATGAACATGATAATAGGGATGGAACACTAAAAGAAAAAATGGGGAACACAAATTTCCAAGGCGGCTGATACTAAATATTAAAAAAAATACATTGTTACATGTCATTCTTGTCAGATGTGTTGTCTGATTTGTCTGAATTATAGCCAGGGGAAAGCTAGATCCTATCTGGCTTGTCATTGTAGGCTGACATGACATGATCTAAAGATACACCCAGACCAAAAATATGGTTCTCCAGACAGAATATTTGTTCATTGACTGTGTTGACACTGCAAGAGGCTAAGATATGGGAACATTGGAAGTCTTCCTTGTCCTCCTCACCTTCTTCTTCTGCACCACACATGCATCTTGATGGCCTCCAACTCTTTATTTTTTTTTTCATTTGCCTCATCTAAGTCTTGCTTAGCCTCTGATTAAATTTGCTGTAGAAAATCAACACCTCTTTCTTTGACCTCAATCCTCCATATATAAGACAGCATTTTGTGGTGTATGATTTCATCAATGGAGTGTTTGTAATTCATGGCTTGCTTGATAGCAAGATTAGAAAACCGGCTAAGATTTGTGTGTCAATGAAGGTGCTTTTGTGATCCCTGCATAGAAATATTGTTAGTTTGTTTGAATTGTAAAGACCACAAGGCAGAAGGTTGAATAGCCTTTTAATATCAACAGTACATTCACATTTATTATCCCTTACGTGGCCAGGAGAGGGTACATGGGTAGTTCTTTAATATGTGTGTACATCAATGTGTAGGCTAACCACAACATCAACAGAATCTATCAATTAGCCAAAAGGAAAGATGACCCCTCTGCTAGAGTAGCAGAGTATGACTATCTGACCACCTTACATATGAAGTGCATGTGTGGGTGGGAAAAACCCACAAAATACTAGAGGAATATGCACCATTACCACCAGTGCCATCTCCTCCTGCCACTGCCACTGCCGCCTTATCTCCACCACCCCTCCTCTCCTCCTTTTCCTCCTCCACCACAACCACACCACATGAGGGGGGGGACCCAGGCAACATGTCAATGCGCTGTCTAGGCCCTCTCTCAAGTGTCCACCTCCAGCATTACCATTTGGAGTGAAAAAGTCATGCCTTCTAGTCCAAGTACTTTTAGCGGAGGGCCACTTGCAGTATGGCTCAGTTTTGGTGTAATCTCATTTAAGATCACAAACATTTCTCAGAATAGCAAGAATTGGCAACTTGCACCTGTTTCAATTATTGCAGGACATTTGGTGGTCAGACCAGAAATTTAACAGAAAATAAATAAACATCTGAAGGGAATTATTGAGGTGAGTGTACCTGGAAACCTATAGTACCATGAATATCTTCTCTGAGTGTATAAAGAGCAAAAGAAATTTAAGATTCAGGTTCAACATAAGGTTGAATATATGAAAAGTTCAACACACAAGATGTTATTTAAAATATTGTGAAGATTTCTCCACATGTAAGATTTATTATGAGTAATTGCTTTTGTTTCAGCAAGATTTATTGTTTGGTCAATATTTTAAATACTACAAATATTGATTGGATTGCTCATAGAAATTTTAAATGTTGCCTTCATGTAAATTGTTGTAGAACTATAGCTCAAAGAATATATTGTAACAACCAAGAGTTAGTTACTCTGGCGCACAACTAGAACCAACTATAAAGGTAGTGAGGGGAGTGGTTACCCTGAGGATAGGACCAAGTTAGTTGTGGGTAAACAACAGGAGGACTGGCTGAGGAGTCTCCTGGATTTATTGAGATATATATACTAATACAGGGTGTTTGTACTTATGTACTGTACAGTTGATAAAAGCAGTGGCTGATGATGTCAGAGGGCACAGCCCGTGTGGCCAGCTCCACTGCATGAGAGACTTGTATCTAAAAATAAAAGGAAGGGCAACGCTGCGCAAGAAAGGGGAGTTTGGATAAAAGGGAAAGTGCCGCATGGCATGGAGTGTGAAAACTATAGTAAAAGGTTAAAGAGGAGAATGAAAAGTAAAGGTCTAAAAATGTGTTATTGTAACAATATTGTGATAGTGATAAAACTTTAACAAGAATGTTAAAATAGAAATTTTTGTTTGAATTTTTCTGTAGGAAAACATTAATTGTTGCAAGTATTTTGTCACCTGCAAAATGAAGTGATTTCTCCGTTGTTTATGATAAATATTGATGCACCAAATATTGTAATCAAACCTGAACAAAACTCAAATATTTGTCTTGGAAAAAGCTACACAGAGATTGAACATCATTTAAATATTTGATATTGTAAAATGTTGATATAAGTTTTTGTTTTTATGTACCCAAATGGTAGTAAAAGTGTGGAGGGATAGCTCAATGATAATCACCCTTCTGTGTATGAAATAATGCAAACAATTATACAGAATGTTGACCTAAAATTGGAGGTGTCAGAATGGAATCAAACATTTTAACTACTTTCAGACTTTTGAATCAATTTTAGGTGTGACAAAAGTTGGTTATGCTTGGTGTGTGTGACTGTTTACCACCTGGCCCATTTCCCTGCTAACTGAAGACCTACTGCTTACAGTTGTCACCAACAATGACAGGATATGTGCTGAAGCCATGCTGACACTTTCCGCAGGCCCAGTGTTGATACTTTCACTTTCACTAGGACAAATTGCACCAGTGAAAATTGGTAGCCGTGATATTCCAACCAGGCAGGAAATATGGTACGTATTACAGCAACCACATTGTATCTGGGATACAGCCAGTTGATGGGCCAGAGAGACTGTTAAACTTAATCTTCACATGTGTACAAGTAGGTGACTTCATCCTTGATATGTTTAGGTAGGCAATCTCTTCACAAGCTTTTAAGTATTTTGAAGTACTGGTCTATTGCAAAATGGCCTGCAGGTGTTGCCCAGGTTTTGCCTGTTATATCCTAGTGTGTGTCATACAGGAGGTCAAAGTCAGTCAAAAATGCATACTCTACAATCTGCATCCAATCCAGAGTAAAATAAGGTGGTCACAGGGCCTGTATTGTAATTGTCTAATGCTGTCTGGATAGTGGTAGATTGGGCTTGTAGGGCTTTACCAATATGCTTTCATAGTGCATAGCCTATAAACCTGTTAGTGCACTTGTAGATATATGAATAAAATGCTTACCTGTCTGTGAACAGTTTGTTTTTGTCAGTTCAAATGTTACAACCAAAGTTTGTAGACTCTGGCACACACTGAAGACAAGCAAAGAGGGTGAGTGGGGGAATGGATATACCCCTTAGGATAGGACTGAGTTAGTTGAGAGTAATCAACAGGAGGACTCGCTGAGGAGACTTCTTGATCTATTAGGGTGTATATACTACTACAGGGTATTTGTATATGTGTACTATACAGTTGCTAAGGGTTGTGGCTGATGATGTCATAGGATGCAGCCCTTGTGACCAGCTTCACCACGTGAGAAATGTAATTATAAAAAAAAGGAGGCAGTGCAGTGCAAAAAAGTACAGGATAAATGGAGTTTGAAATAAAAGGAAAGTGCCAAATGGCACAAGTGTCTAAAAAGAAAAGAAAATTTCAAAGAAGAGAGCAAAATTTGGAAGTCCAAAAATTGTGTACTGTAACATCAAATATGCAAGCCACTACAAGCCCCTCTAAGCAATCTAAAACCCGCTTATATTTTTGCATGGCTACAAGTCTACCAGCATTCTGCCATTCTGGGTCATCTGGGGTCCAGCACTGTGTAACTTGAAGCTTCAATTCCAATGCATGTACTGCCTCCAGGATCTTCTCATACTTTTTCTGCTCATGATGACAGGTGGTCTCTATCTTCTGCGTCAAATTGACCTTTGACACTACCATGGTTGCAGGATTCTGCAAAGAGAATATGTTAGTTGCTGCCACAAAAAACTTCCTATAGGAAGCAATAAGTATGTCAGTTCAATGTGGAGGTGATGGCTTTATGTACTCACTGGCTGTCAGCTTGTTGATTTTCAGCCAATACTCCATCTGTAGTATTTATTCAACTGGTTACCTGTGCAAGCCATGTAGATATAGATTTTCCTTTAGCAGCCACTGCTAAAATGTCCTTTCCTCACTCTTTTATTGCCTTTGTAAGATTGATTGGTCCACTTGCAAGGATTGCCTGCTTATAATTGCTTTATAAGAATATAGCTATAATGAAACAGATAAATCATCCGTTCAATACTACCATGATCAAAAATCACTTACAAAGATTATGATACATTTTAACTACATCATTGTGCTTGAAGTATATGTTGATGGCTTGTTTTTGGTGGAAGATACTGGAATATTTTACAGAAGATGCTGTGGGACCTATGTATCCAAAAAACACTGTGT